TCATGCAATTTTTTCCGTCCAGCTTCTCCTACCTTCCGTCCGCATGACATATGACCCAACGAAAAACTCAACCCTCAAGCTTTTTAACGTAGTGATTTCGCGTTTTTGCCATATACCCTATCTAACTTACCTCAGAGAAATGAGGAAGAAGGCACATCAAGCAAGCCACATTTCTTCTGTTTGGCGGAACGAGCGAGAAAGTCGGCATGATTTTGGGATGATGAAGCTGTTGGATTAGAAAATAATCGTGGTCAAAGGCCTCGACCCTTTCCTAAGGGTGGGTGGCCCATCATTTCCCTAAACAGGTTGACTTTCCCACTCTTTGGCATTTGACAGAATTGAAATAAATAAAAAATTGAGGTCCGTGCCAGCGCGATTAAGGGCCTCACCAGTAGAATGAAGACTAGACCAGAAGGGCGTAAGAAAACCTGACTCAAGTGCAGTGCCATGTCTGGCAAGGACATAGCATAGCTAGCTGATGCGATGGCCTGGGCGAGGCGTCGAACTTCTCTGCTCCAGAATGTCCACGTAGAACGTAACCAGTTTATCAACACATTAATATTATACACTCATACCTCAACTCTTTCAGCTGCAACATGCATCCATGTGATATTTTCGTACAGTATTTTCATATGATATATATCTTACTACATTCTGCGTGTAGTCCACTCCACGACAGGTCACTACGTTCCACCAGCCACTGTAAGCGGATGGAGAAAAAGACCCTCTGATAGCGTATTCGCCTGCTCCATACAAGAAACTTGATTGCCAACCGAGCTGCCCACTAAAACCCCGCGTGTCAGATCGATCCAATAGAGATCACCCGTATCCAGTGCCTAGCTGAAAATTATCCTTTTCATCCAATGTCTGGGTGTTCAAAACGTCAACTACATGCCTCAAATGGAAATTCGTGTCTCACAAGGCGGGTATGACAGAATTTGCATACATCCAGTTGATGGTTCCCTGATGACGTGAGGCATACCCTACTATTCATCCAAAACGTGGCCCTTTGACATTCGAACGTTATCACTTTAAAAATTTATTTTCTGTTCCTGCTAATTGCAAATTAGACCTGCGTTATTGCTGTCTGTTGAAATGTTTTTACCAGCGAAACGGATCCCGCGGGACGCGGGTATGGTCTATTAAATTAATGTTTTTGGTAATGTTTTTTTACGAGAAGAAGTAGTAATCCCATAGAAAAGTTTTTAATGAATATCGTCTACTTGGACTGATTCCGCACCATGAATCAAATAGTCATAGAGCCCAAATGAATATTTGTTTCTTCTTTACCTATAATTTACTTTGACCGGCATGAAATACAATGTTTTTTATTTGTCAGCGATAGAACTTGTATACCCCTTGAATGAATAATAGAACATGGAAAATTGAGGCCACTTTTGGCTTTTGGATTGATCTATGCTTCCTCAAAGCACAACAAATCACCAAATGCAGAGATGCGTTTTAACCGACTATAAGGAATAGGAATTTGTAATGATACAATTATATGAAAACAATTTTTTTTCTGATTTTGTTATACTACTTCTCACATAGAACTTTCAAATCCGAGTAACATTTTATCCTGAATATATTCTACCACTCAAGCAAGTCTCTCCGAATGGAGGAACACACTGACGTGATAAAGAAATATATCACGTAATGATAACTTAAGAGCTCCAGATGAGTGGAGCAGTTTCCCTGTTTTCTCCCGAACCTGGAGAAAACAGGGAAACAGACTGAAGGTGGGAGGAGTTAAACTTGACTCTAAAGTAAGTGCATCCTCCAGACCCGAATTGGGTTTATTATTAGTCACTTGCTTAACATTGGGAAAGATCTGAACGTCGGAAATGCCGAAGAGTTCATTGTTGCTACGTTAGAAAAAGGTAATATTGACCTAAGCTGGAGTCGGAATGAGGAGCTTCTGAAGGGGGGATCCCACATTATCGCCAAACATCCTTCATTCCATTCTCATTTCCATCGTTCCCTGCTCTCACACACGAGTTCGAACTCCACAGGCGAGAAGCAGCATACATACCCAGAATGTTTGTTGACGGAGATGGGATGGGAATATATGGGAAGAGTGAATATGACGGAATCGGGACGGGAGTGCTACTGCTCTCACACACGAGTTCGAACTCCACAGGCGAGAAGCAGCATACATACCCAGAATGTTTGTTGACGGAGATGGGATGGGAATATATGGGAAGAGTGAATATGACGGAATCGGGACGGGAGTGCTTACCTTGGAGGGCCTACCCTTACAGAAGAGTGGATCACTTCTGGGAAACGAAAACTCCAGGAATGCCGCAAATCAATTATACATACGAAAAATCCTTCCCTAATTGGAACTCAGTGATTCATCGCAACTACTGTCGGAATCCGTTCGGGAGGGAGAGACCTTGGTGTTTCGTCTCGGACCCTGCCGTCCAATGGGAATACTGCTACATCCCCATGTGCACCGACAGCGGTAATGCAATTCCCTTCATTGGATTTCATAACAAATGACAAAATAGCGCTTGAAAGCGAAGGTGACATACTCAGAGAGTGATTAAGGTAAATTACATGTACACCAAATTGTTGCCTCTAGCATTCCTAGGTTTCTAAATGAAATGTCGATCGATGATTTAATGCGACCGTCGCAATGGCCAACACAATGCGACGCGGAAATTGGTTTACTGTAATTTTAAAAGAAAATTATTGGTATGTATTTTACTTTTGGCGACTAATCCACGCGAACTTTCAGGAAATGCATATACTTTATCTGAAGAGGCGGTGCCTCCATTGTGGTTGAACTACTCGGAAATCAAATGAAATTAGAATCTTCCCTCTATTGCCGCCAGCCCCCCCGGAGTGCAAGTTGACCGAACTGGGCGGCGAATACAGTGGAACGAAGAACGAGACGATTACGGGCCGACCATGCCTCCCTTGGAGAAACTTCGATGAGATGGTGGATCTATCTTCGCTCCAAAATTCCGATGACGTCGATGCCCATCAAAACTTTTGTCGCAACTTCAGACTTCCTGAGGTTCGCGATTCACCCGAAGTCTGATTCATGTCCGATTAGAACCTGAATACGGTGTCATATTCATTCGGAACATCTTCAGAGGGCTCTTTCAAATAATATATTTTGAAATATTGAAGTTAGGTGGTTATACGTATTCATACCTATGCAAACAAAACCCTCCATCTGCCCCGAGGTGATTTTTGATTCCATTATTCATGGTTATTGGTTCAAGATACAGGTGGGGGCGTCGAGAGGCGCTTTCACCCATTAACCGAGAAGGTCGACCTTTCATGCATCATAGGGAAAGCTTTCACCCCTTTAAAATACTTTTGGGAGCTTAACCATATGCTGATTAATCGCTTACAGCTACCATGCTGTGTTTTGTTTTGTCCTTGTGGCAGCAAGCCATTTCTTAAAATAATGCACTGTAGAGGCAGGCATTACTTCAATGCAAGATACAGTCATCCCCCGAAAATACGTCGTAATTAGTTCCGAGACCGGCGCCGTAAGTTGAGACAGATTTTCCCATAGACGCAATGTTAAAACGGGGAGTGTGGCTGCAGAGAATCAGTTTTGACCAAGCAGAAAAAGTAATACTGTACGGTAACAATGTTGCCGACTACTCAAGGCCTGCGACACTTGGCGCGCTCAGTGCGGTGTTGCCGATTACTCGCAGTTGAGATACCAATTCATGGCCGACGTAAGGGCAACAAAATACAACGTAGGTACGAATTTGTGCGCTTGGCTTAATATACCTGTATTGGGTATGGGGGCAAACGACATAAGACGAGACAACGTAAGTCGGGGATGACTGTATATTCCACACGTTTACTTTCCTGCGGGCAAAGAAGTCATTCCGCAAATTGGGTCTCGCTTGGACATTACTCAACCTAATTTGGTTTCCTCTTGTTTTTCTTTTGAACATTGAGTTGAACGAAACTACAGCTTTTCTCGTAATGGACTCGCTTCGTGATATCACATGCCTGGTTGACTTCCTACCTCCTTTTACAGCTAAAAGAGTCCCAGAGATTCTAAGCGCTTCGCAAGAGGAAACCGTCATACCTCCAGATCTGTGATATCACATGCAATTTTCGAATTGAAGTCGGACAAAAACTGCTTATACTGGAAAAAGAATGCGGCAGCTTTTATTGGCTACGGAATGCCTGCTGATATTATGATACCATTTCGCCCCTATGGCATACGCGCAAAGAAGGATTGCAAGCTCTCGTCAGTCGGTATCCTTAGTTCTTTACCTCATCTCGAGGAGGATCATATACTTAATCTTTGAAATACCCAGGTCAGTTTTTCGTATTCCTTAGCTGACTAGTCAGCTTCACATGATGATAAGCTACCATGCCTGTTCGTGAAGTTGTTTGGAGGCAATTAAGTGCAGACTCGCTTTTAACACTTGCCCTTACCATCTTTTTAGATGGCTTTGGTTGTGCATTTTACCTGTCTTCAACTGCTTCCCGAAAAGTCAACCCCCTCGTATTCCTCTTTCTGAGAGCATCAACAGGAACGAAATTGTACATGATTCTTCCTCTCTCAACACAGAATCGCTTCAGCAAATTAGATGTATCTCCTCGGAATTGTAGAATCTAAATCTTGCTTTTGAAGATGTCAATTGCATTCCATATTTTTCTCCCCCCCCCCTCCTCCCTGGTTAGTCACTAATGGGAGGCTTTCGGAGGAATGAGATCAACAATGAGAAAGAAATTGACTTGTAGATGGCCAAAAGTGTCCTATTGCTGCTTGCGATGCACCATTTTGCCATTAAAACGAATGAAAATAGCTGTCATTCATTTAGGCTTAGAGCGCTAGTTCCGATCCCTTCCCCCAGTGTTGCGGGATATCGTATTGTAATTATGCCAGGCTCAAGACTACTTCAACCTTCGTATCGGCGACTGGATATTTTGTTTATTAATGTGTGACATTTTCGTGCTGACTTCATAAGTTGAGCTGCGAATTAAGCAGCGGTTAGCAGTGATTAATTAATGTCATGGGATATGGAGATTTGTTACCCGGACATCCCTGCATTGCCAAGATGGATGTCATGGATTTCATGCGTTGCGGAGGCACTGCTTCCTCAGACATATTCGAGATGGTTCGTGGAACACTGGATAGGCCCAATGTTGCACATCCGCACTGAAATGATTCAAGAAACGCGAAACAGGCCTCAAATCGATCTAACGTTATGAAATGGTTCGCGAAAGTATGTACAGGAATGTAATTGGCCTAACGTTACACGCCCTCAAAGAGATGTCTCGAAGCCCACGGATTCATCTTTCAAGGACAATAGTAAATTGAGATTTGTGTTTCTTTTTTTACGAAGAATAAATTACGATTTGGTGTGTCTGTTGGTTAGGTCTAGGACAGGCGTTAGTGAGTCCCATAGAGAAGGGTGGGAAGGGGGTGGGTCGAAGAAAAGTAAAGCTGTTCACAATTGGTATTGAAATTAATCCATATCCTTAATGGTCCTTGAGTGTGGTTTCTACTAACACGAAATGGCGCCTATCTGTCGATGTCATGATTCTCTCGCTGATTGCGAGTTGCAGTGCCACTTGTATTCGCCTTTCCATTTGCTTCTGGGTCAGCATCGACGTCGCTCGCGGTAAAAGGCTCTCATTAACCGAATTGAGCTATGTGAGGCTGCACCGTCCATCTGGATACATAGTGGCCTCTGTCCTATCAGCAATTCCAGACAATATCTTTCTCCGTCGTCTCGCTGTTCCGTCAAATGCACCGACCGATCGCAATACTGTCCTGCGGCGTTATCATACGGTATCGGCCATTACTACCTCGAGTCTCCGAGGTGCCTCGCTCTTTGATCTTGGTCATTTTATAACGTACAGTTTAAATAAGAATCTTTAATCGACGGACAATTGCGACATCACACAATTAGTTCTGATTCCAATAATGTAAGGTAACTGATCGATTCCTCCACATACGGTTAGCACTATAACCATTCGACATTCTCAGCAGACTCAGCAAAACTTTCCCAGATTTGCCATCTTCACTGCTATATGTAGTGCTTGACCTTCTACCGCTTGACCTTCAAGGAAGTTCTGGAACAATCACTCTCGAATCACTCTGGGATATGTACTCCGGGAAAAGTTTCTTTGCTGAACTGCATTTTTTGCTGTGCCCTGTCAATCCGGTTTTCCGGAAGAACGGAATCTAAAGAACTAAACGGAAATTCCTCATGCTCATAGGCTGCGTGGGTGAAACAGGTTGCTCCCTGGTGTTATATCGAGGATACGAATCCCCCAGCTTGGGAATACTGCGATGTGAGCTTCTGCGAGCTTCGAATTGAAATCGGAGGCAAGGGGCATGTGTATCCTGAATGCCGACTGTCAGAGAAGGGAATCGAATACGTGGGAGGCAAGAACGAGACCGAGAATGGAAAATCTTGCCAACGATGGGACGTAGATACCAGACGACTTCAAGAATTGACTTACCCATATTCATTTTCATTCTACGACTTCACCAAGTCCATATCTCCAGAGAATCACTGCCGAAACACTGGGCAATTGGACCGGCCGTGGTGTATGGTATCTGATCTCAATACAGTGTGGGAGTACTGTGACATTCCCGTTTGCGAAAATCTAGGTCCGTCCCGTCACGCGTCCGACCGATGAATGTGATGTTCCACTCTGATTCATTTTGTTTTGGTTTTCAGATCCGCTGGAATGCAAGTTGAGTCCATCTGGAATCGAATATGTGGGGAAGCTGAACGTGACGATATCTGGGTATCCCTGCAAACCTTGGTTGGAAGTGTGTGCAAAAAAGCCCTCTGCATGCGAATGGCTAGGATCGAGATTTCCAGACGAACTTGATGGGAAACACCGGTTTTGTCGAAATAAGGCTACATTATACCACGGCCCATGGTGTTTCACCTACGCTGACGACGGAATTGAATGGGAGTATTGCGAAGTTCCCTTCTGCCCACCTACTGATCAGAAACGATGCGACATTCGAGTGGGTGGACGTTCCGTCAGTGAGTCTTCTTTTGCTTTTGCTTTTGAATTTTTATTTCCCGATTTTCGCTTCTATAAAAAAGGAATTCCACAGACAGAGCTTAGACATTACGGTTGCCGTCTGTCCTGTTTCTCACAAAAGATTCCAGCCTGTAATTTAATGGGAATGGTCTTTTAGGGAGGGTGAACATTTGAATATGTAACTGTTTCCAGCGACTCGAGCAAAGAATAATTGTAGGTCACCGTGCTTACAATTGCTATGACAAGACAACGTTCCTAAATCGCTTTGCTCCTTGTGACGATACCTCGGTCGTATGTCAAGTCGGAAAGCGACGAAAATATCATTCAGATTTTTTCTGAGATTTCAAGATTCCCATAGACTCTGGTTTCGCTCGTATCCGATCGGCAGGAAGGAGTTCTCCGACTGGGATAATATCTCTGAAAATATTAACCTTTGACTTTTAATCTCAATGGAAGAAGTGCAATAAAAAAAACGGACGACGAAATCAAGGGGCTTCAAAACTCCTAAAACAAAGAAACGGAATTTTTTGATGAAAAATGACCCTCGTGACTCGAGGCCAATCCCAGGGTCATCGATGGCCCATCGGTGACAGAGTCAACAAACTCCGCCGCCTGAACGATTCATCCCTAAAAAACTTCAGTTCAATGTTTCTGAGCCAGGGGTCATGCCGTCTCGAAGGACAAGAGGCCTTACCCAGATACGGTCATCAGTATATAAGATGCCTGGATGGGGTCATCCGACACTTTCCTTCTCTTGAGCGAGTAAAATCGCACTAAACGCCTCTCACACGCTTCTCAAGTCCGCTGACCTCTCTGATCATTCTATAAGCCCGTCTCAGGACCTTCTCGAGCTCAGCTGCTTCACCTTCATTTGCAGGCCGAAACTGAACGCAACGCTCCTATGGGGGTCTGCATCATGAAACGCAAGAATGAGACGCAAGCTCTCACTTCCTATGCAACGTAGGATGAAGCCTAGTTACGATGTTACATTTAGTCAGTCACTTGAGCATAACAATTTTAGTTCATCATCGATAAAGATCCCTAAATCTCTCCGTTTGGCATGGCCATGCCAGTGGCTGCATCACATACCGTCATCTTGACCGAGTTTGGCATAAGTAGATTTCTATGAGCGCCCTTGTGTAACAATGTCAAATTGGGTTCCGATTTCTCTTGATGTCTCCATTCGAACCGCGAATTTCATCATCTTCCTTACCTGGCTTTGCAGTTTTCCCGTTCTCTCAGGAATCATAACTTACCGCACCTTACGTTTCTCAGCCCCATTTGAGTGCAAAGTTGACGAGAAAGGAGTGAAATACATTGGGACGAAAAACGTGACCAGGAAGGGATTCAAATGCCAGCCGTGGTTGAGCAATTCCCCGAACAACCAACTCCTCATCATCGACTACGAACCATCGTACACTTACGACGAAAGAAGTAAGTGATAGACGCCCCATCCTCCCAAACGGAGTGATCTTTTATCCACTCATTTTGCACTCTATGCTTAGAACTGAGAACGTTCGAGAATGACAGTGCGTTAGCCAGGCTGCGAGGGTGTGTCTAGCTTTCCTCCTGCATGAGCGATGAATCTGGAGGTGATGTTGCTAGACAGACTTGGGTCATTCAAGTACTAAACTCGAGTGCTGATCCAGTGAAGGAAGTTATATGGAAGGACCCTTCAGTGGTATAATTGCACTCATTGGAGTACTTTCGAGCTTTACACAATATTTGCACGTGTTCAGGCTCGGGAAAAAGAGATGGTAGTTCCCATACGTTGAAAATGTAACGCTGGCACAACATAACACGCGAACGGGTCGATATTTTCAACGTTGAAGAATGTTTCAACATTGCGGCAACATTGAATCCACCTCTTAGGCACAAATGTGGCAACATTGCAGCATTGAAAAATTAGTCCTCGCTCAATGCTGACCCGACGTTGTCGCGCCGAATGGATACGCTTTCCAATTATAGAATATTGCCGCATAAGATATCGTTGCGACTAAAATTGCGTATACCTTGTTAGAGTTTGCTATGCAAAGACTGCGTTGCTCAAAAAATTGTCAAAGGCATAAGAAAAGCGTGCCAGGACTTTTAGTCCACCCTGCACAACAAGTGTGACTTTGCTGGTTTGGGAGAGGTAAGTGTCTGTACGAGACTTCTTAGCTTCCCCCAAAATGACAGGTCAAGGGAATTTGTCCAAAACCGTTTGTCTTCAGGATCTCGCCAGCAGTACCTGTTCATTTTGCGGGGGCGAAAATGCTTAAATGAAAACTTCTTGCCTCAATCAATTATTTGCTTACGTGATGAATACTGAAGGTGGTCATGTCCTCGAAATTAGTACAGAAACATATTTATTGAGTTACAGCATTCTATATCTACCCAATTAATTGCGAGAAATTATTTCGTAGAAAATGTCACCTCTCTTGAAAATGACTCAAGGGAATAGACCCCTGAAGCAGTAATTTTACTGAAGCAACACCAAACTGTTTCTTCCATGCCCACCGAATTATTTGTTTACCTGTTCGATTCATCGAGGAGGGAAATATTATTTGAAACGGTAACCCGAGATAATCTGCCCCCTGGGAATATAGCCCAAAATATAGGATTTCTCACAAAATCATAGATCGAAGAACTACACCTTTAAGGCTGTGGTTCCCAGACTTCTTTGAATCACGACCCACTTGCTGAGGTACCAAAAATTTCGGGACCCAGCGAAATCCAGAACGAGGTATTTTCAAGGTAATTTTGATGAAGAATACTGATCGAACTTTGCTGTAGGGCGTGTTTTATCCCAAGCGGATGCGGAAGTAGTGATTTTTTTATTCTGGAAAAATGTACGTGACCTTGATGCCTCTCGCGACCCACAGTTCGGGAATCGCTGCTCTAAGGAACGTTAGCTATCATATCCGTAAATTCTGGTGGAGAGAAACAATTTTTGGAGAAAACCTATCCACAACCCACGTAGGTGTACCCACGTGGGATGTACATGAATTGAATGATTTTTTCTTTAGATCAACACCCAGCAGTTTTTTTCTGTCCCGGTTATCAGCTTTCTGTAATAGAAAGGATGATTCCCTGAAGCAGCTTACTCGGGATCTTTTCAGGAATCGTAGAATATCCATTTCTCATGTCGCTTCGGCAATGTCACACGAACAGGAGTTAGATGATGCCAAAAGATGACGACATGTCTTTATAACCTGATATTTCTCATAAGCCTGTTACGGACAAGGATGAATATTGTTCTAAGAACATAGTTCCAGGTCAAGTGGGCAATCAGCCGTACGTTAATCCAAGCAATTTTCCGGACGACTTGCACGCACACCACAACTACTGTCGGAACCCGAATGGAGACGAAGAGGTTTGGTGTTACAAAGCTTCAGGGGTGGGACGGGACTACTGTGACGTCCCCAAATGTCCTTGAACCTCGCCTTACAGTGAGACACGTATGAGGACCATTTTATCAATGTTTCTACCGTCCGAATATTCCTAATGCTAGGGCTGAACAATGTATGTGGATTTCATTTTTTTCATTTCCAGATACGGAGCTGTGGCGATAATGATATCGTCCTGATGCACGCAAATCGATTTTATCGTTGACGATTTCTATGGGGAAACTTATCATTCCATCGCGGCTTCCTTCGGGTGGGGATTATTTATTTGTTTAGAGATAGGAACTTCATACCGTTCTGGATATCTAGGTATAGAAATCCCATTTTCTATCGTTCTGACATCGGGAAACTGCATTCACGCAGCAAAGCAGACACTTGCAGTGAGGTATAATAATATATTTGATACGTTTTGAGGTATAAACGTATGTCGTAGAATCCGTTTGTTGAGAAGGTACAAAAGCAAAATAAGGAACAAATGAACACGCTTTTCATATATTTTTCGAAAGGAAAGGATGGGTTGTATTTCTTTTAGAAACCCATGTGTACTCGACGTAAGCGTTAGTAAGATCTCCACATGAGTCTTAATTTTCAGCTTCGAGGAGCTTCGAACTGAGTTTTAGTGACACCTAGCTCATATGGAATCGTTCGGCACCGCATCTCTGACAGTCAGCGAACTGTCACGGATAATAAAAATCTCCTTGCAGAATCTTGTTAACGGAGATGGTGATAGCTCGGCAGTAGCACCATGAGGCCGTAGGGCATACCGTCTGTCTTACCAATAGGGTTTTCTTGGTTGTCACGGTCGTTACAAGTCTGGACCATCGCGAAAACAGCGTTTCAAGCTCTTTCAAAACTGGCTTTCTATTGAACCGAGAGTAAAAATTCCTAAGCTTCAGTTTACACTCATCCTTCCACGTGCTAAACGACAACATTAGGAAATTTACAGAATCTTTGTTTTCCGTTGAAACACGACACTCATACTTTTACAAAATGCTATTTCACAAGTATCACGATGGGAAGTGGACAGGGAGAGGAACAAGACTGCTCTCTGAAGGTCCAGCAGGTCTTGACTTGAGTTAGGTTGTTTGGAGGAATATGAGCGCCATCTCGTGCGTATTTTGGCTGCTGCATTGGGAACCCAGACATCTGCGTCTGCAACGTACCAATGTAAACGCGTGGACTGCATGTATACTACTGTATGGTACCGGACGGACAAATATGTACGTCTCAGTTTCTTGCGCCCCTTAGTAAATTTCCACTTTTTCGTGAAGAAAGACCATTAGGTCGTACGGGTATACGATCGCGTTGCTTATCGGGAATAACACTTCCCATATTTTTCTGTCCACTCCATCAAATAAGGAGAAATGAAACTCGAAGAAAATATAAATATGGCTATACAGTGGTACCTTGCATAACGAACGCAATTCGTTCCACCGGTGCGTTCGTTATGCGAGGTGTTCGCGAGTGAAAGTGAAACATTTTTTCCTAATTTCCTTGATTTTTCGCGGCGACGTGGAACGGATTACATGATTTCCCATAGACGCACCGCTGGAACGAATTGCGTTCGTTATGCGAGGTACCACTGTACTCTACTTGCCTTTCCCTAGATGAATTCGAATGAGGTCTGAAGAGAAAGGAGGAAGAAAGCCGGCTTTCTTCCTCCGGAACAAACCGGAAAGGTTTCTAAGGCGCTTATGACGATTTGTATTTTCCCCCATTTCCACCCACCCACACAACCAATCTCCCTTCCCCCAACCCACCCGAGCATACGATAAAATCTATATATCCCGATATTCCAGGAAGACGATTCGACATTTTTCCAAGACAAATATTGTGCAGCCCTAGCTGATACTTTCCTTGTCTGAGTATCTGATTACGTCACCAGGTTCCAATCCAAGTTTTGGCAATAATTGTAAGCCCCGGCTTTATGAATACTTCATGGATGAGTGGAATCGGGAATATCGTTGCAACACACAAGCAATGTTTGAAAATTGACATGGAACTGAGTTAAGTTTTCGAAGCTTTGGTGTGCCTCATTAACTATTTGGAAATCCTTTCATGAGCATTTTGATTTATCTGAATTAAGGTGCGATCCAAGAAATAAAATTCCTTTCTTTCACGACCATGAGACTCTCAGTGTGATCAGTGAAATCAAAACCCCCCATCATATTGACAGCATTCGCTCTCTACTTCAGACTCCTCATCATCAGTGTTTTATGATAACATTTATCAACCTTGTACGAGCATGGATTGATGTAACCAACTCCAAGGTCTTCACTTCTGACAAACTCATTCGATCATGAAAGCCTTCAGTTGGCTACATTCGGTTTGAGTGCTGAAGATCCCATAGATGGGATAGAACTTCGGAATCGTTCCTCCATTCAACATTCCAATCACTTAACGGGGGTCAGAATTTCGAAAATTAGAACGTCGAGCGGCATCAAAGGCAAAGAAAAAATGAAATGAGGAAAATGAAACATAATCCTGTTTTTACCATCATCCGTCTCATCAGTTTAAAAAACAGGAATGTCTACTTGCTTCATTCCATGAGACGGCGCCTAATACACATAAGCTATTGTGACTGACCGCTATTCTAACATATTTAAAGATATAAAAGAAAACTGAATATCGGTACCCTATCAGATATTACAGCGCTTGTTCACTTTTCATCTTCAGCTTCTGCACGCACCAAAGAAAAATAAAAACTTTTATTCATTATCTTCTCACGTCCCAAACTCCTTCCCCAAGATTGGGGAAATAAAATAAAATAGTATTGGAATACTTAATTCGGTACTCGTCAGAGATGAAGCGTAAAATAGATGATGCGACGTTAAATTTCGAATGGTTCAAGAGACAGCCAAATACTTCTTCCGATCGTGGCGTATGATATATTTAGTGTTAACTAATGTTAATCAGAGTCTTGGAAGGCCGAAGGCGGTGATGAAAAAATAGCAGAATTTTGCACTTTCTCGGAGGAACAGGAAAGAAAAAGATTTAGACGACCTTCAAGGTCAGAGTTGACATTAATGCAGTTCATGTGAAGGTTCCAGGAAGGA